AACACAATATGGCCAAAACTGGAGCCAGCACATACGAGATGCAGTAGATAGGCCAAAGAGCATTCCCATGAACGTAAGGGCTAGTGTTCTGAAAGATGGGTGCATGCAAATAGACATCTTTTATGTCCACAAAAAGTCAGAAAGTCTCCCTAGTGAGTGGGACAATGACAGATCTGGTTAATTCCAACTGGAAATTTTGGGGCTGGATGCAAATATCTAGGGCTTTAATGTCTAAGATGGAGCGAACGTACCCTTTTTAGTTTTAGAACAGTTAAAATTTTGGAATAAAACAAATAAACAAAATAAATGGGAATTATTATTACATTTAGCTGTCTTGGACTAAATGCTGATTGGCTTTAGTACCTTTCTTTTTTAGGTTGAGGTTTAGCAGTGAGAAAACGAGGAGGGGCAGGGAACAAAACTTGAGTTTGTAACCCTGGGACATTACCAATTGCACTGGAATGCAAGCTGTCCAAGTGTCTTCAAATGTTATTAAACATCCCCTACTGTGGATAGTGTTGGCACACTGTCTTGTGGAGGAAGGCTGGCTGAAGACTTGGTTGATTTGGAATGCTATACTTTGCAGGTTATTGGAGGGCCTCAACGCTGAAGTTGAAGGAGTGGAGAAACTAAAAGGAACGCTTCTTGATGTTCAGGGAGGGGGATAACTTGACAGTCTGCTCCGGAGGCCTCTTTCACTGGGGAAGATGAGTGCTCTTTCCACTGGTAACACTTTAATGATAACATCTATAACTAGAGGTGCTGTCCTCCAAATGCTATGCGGTTCAAACATTTCTCACAAGGCAGTTCCACAGTCCAGAAATTTGGCAAACGTGCCCTAAGCATATGTACCGACAGGACACATAAGCAAAATATCGTAAAATATCACAGCCAAAGTCAACTCCACAGCCATCTGCTCCATGCGTTCAACAAGCAGCGGTGGATACATACCTTGGATTTTGAGCAGTCATACATGGTTCGACAAAGCAAAATCACGGCTAGAATGTAGTGCAATTCCGAACCCACCAATGAGAACAGGTTTCTGTAAAGGACTTCCAAGTGTTTATCAGTTAGGTGCGTAAAAGCAGGTGCATCTTCCACCGGTATAGTAGTCGCCTTGAGACAAGACACATCTGGATCCACAGAGGCAACAGACCACTTCTGAACAAATTAGCATCAAGCAGATACAAAGCCAGCAAGTGCTTAGAGGGAGCAAACAATCTATCAGGACACTTCCTATCTTCGTATAAAAACAATTGGAAAAGCAGGTACACAGGGATAGTCTTTGCAGACTTATGGGCTCTACATGACCCAAGGTTGAAAAACGGCACTGGAAAAAGAAAAAGCTGAACCCCTAGCTTCAGGTTGGTACACACCACATCAATAAGAGTCAAAACAGTCTGCTTGAGCTTGGGAGTAATAGCAGTAGACTGTGACTCCTCAAGAGTAAGCTCATCCAAAAAGATTTGAGTAATCATAAGAAGACGGAGTCCCTGCGGCCAATGGCTAAGAAGCCGTTAAGACTTTGGGTAAATTTATATAGAGAATCTACTAAAGAGGAAGCGTAAACAGGTTTGTGGCCTCAAACAAATAGCTGGGTAATAAAAGGGCTGTATAAACGTAGTAAATTTCAGCTGACAGGGCAGAAGACCCAGCTGCATACATCACGGCCAAGAAGGACTCCAAAGAGGGTAGGGCCCCAAATCCCCTGACCTGTAGAAAATTATTTAAGGTTAGCTGGGGAGCACCCGGTACAGCAATGAAAGCCCTACTGGCTCAGGGAAAGCTTTAAGTACTTTTGAAACCCAGACAAGCTGGTAGCAGGTGAGGACTGTGCGAACAGATGGCTGAAGGTGACTGACATTACTGTTGTCAAGCAACAGGAATAGACTGAAGTTCCATGGGTCTCTTTGCAACAGGAGCAGTAGCAGGGATATGCTTCCTCAAGCTTGTATGGTAGAAAAGAGAGCATCCATCCAGTGGATGATGTCAGTGCTTTTTACCACAATCTTAACTTCTACCATGGCAAACCTAGTTGGAAATGTGGAATAATGAAAATGAGGAAGCTCCTGATGTTGAGCCCACACAGTCTATTCACTAAATGAGTCTTCAGAGACAGGGCAAGTGCAGAGGTAATGCCAGCAGCTGTGTCTGGAAAGTGGTCCACAGTCAACATAACCAGAACCAGTGCCCAAAAGTCACTTCCAGGCTAATCCCACAACATCCAGTCCAACGGGGTGTGGATACATGGATACATCATGGTCCAAAAGCCAGGCTGAGGACAACCACGTTGGATAGCTAAAAACTGGAGGGGAACCCTCCAGCAGCAGTGTAGAGAAGAAATAATTTGCTAGAAAAATTGTAGGGTTGTCTTTAATACAGCAGAGCTGAAGGAATGCTGGTAGTAGAAGGGGTAAATACACCAGGCTAACCTACAGTTTTTATTATTTTCCAGTGTCCAATCCTCCAGTAGGCAGCAGTATAATTCAAAGATTTTAAGAATAATAATTAATTTAAAGTATTAAGAATAATAATACATACAGCAGCAACCATTTGCCTAGATGAGTTTCGTACAGTTGCACTTAGTCATAAGACCTTGCAATACAGGAGTCGGCAAACTAAAAGAGTGTGGTTGCATGCCAATCCCTGAGTGGCAGCGGTCTTGTCAGCCATTCTGTAGACTGGGAAAACAGAAGCCACAATGGGCATTTGAGTTGCTGGTCTGGAGAATGACCATGCAGGAAATAGGCACAGGCATGACTTGCAGCAACAAAAAGCCAGGCCAAGTATTTTTATTAGGCAACAACCTGGCTTAGTGGTTAGCACTCTTGCTGTGTTGATTCTCAAATTCAATTCCCAGCACATACTCTATTAGCATTGTGTAAGTAGTTATAAGTTTTTCCCGTGTTTGTGTTGGTTTACTCAGGCTTCCATCTGCAACCAAGGAAAAGAGGAAAGATAGACAAATGACATTATCATAGGAACACTTGACTGTAAGCTCCTTTCAGAGAAGGCTGCATTGAACGGTCTATGTACCCTGTAAATCAGGATATAAATACTAAAAGTGATAAAATGAGTTAACTTGCAAACAACTTGTATTAGGAAGCTTCAAAACTAGAATGAATATGACCGGAGAACTTAAAAGGTATCTAAAGTTATAAATTCTTTATAGCTGAAGATGGAGTAGGGAGGGCTAACACCACTTATTTTTTCTTGTCTTGTGTCCCCCATTGGGGAGATTTCCTTTCACTCCCATAGACACAATAGAAAGCACTTATCGCTGCAACAAGTTTCCTTATTGAAAGACTCATCCCCCCTCCCTCTTCTGGTGACAATTAAAAATTTTGGATTTTCCCTCACTTTAAGTCTCAGTAACAGTGGCTACAGGGACAAGTTGGGAGGGTGAGATTCCCCAGTGGGGACACAGACAGCAGTACAAATTTGATAAAGGTTCTAACCCCTCACTACTCAATCCAATTACAAAACGTTGGTGCTTTAGATATGCTTATTTCAGCACATCTTGAACTATTATTTAGTTAACGACTGCTGGAGTTGTAGACTGTCAAGTTCAATACACATATGACTGCACAACCTCCTTTAGGCCTACCAACTATGTAATGCAAGGGCCTGTCTGACTGACACAAATTGATTGAATAGTTTAGGTAGGTGCTCATAAAGCATGCTTTAGGTAAATCTAAAGTAAACTGTACAGTCAGATTGTAACATGTATGGGAATGAAAAGCAGAACCCCAAGTATGGATTTTATTGTATAGTTATAATGGTCCAGCTTAGACTAATATAAGCATTCAGAAGCCATACCTGTGGGACCACTGTAGAAGTTGAGAAAGACTGAAGTGGCTGTCGCTACTACAGTAATCGCCTCTGTAGTCGGGGTGCGTGCTGAGCAGCTGCCCTGCTGCATAATAACTTCAGGGGGTCGCTTGCTTGGTACAGGCTCCATTCACAGAATGCCTTGCATTTTTCCCAATTAATGTAAGCTGTTCTTTGATTGGACTAAGTGGAGAGACAGAGCAGTGATGTCACAATTTCCACCATGTCCAATCAGGGAATACCTTGCATTAATTGGAAAAAATGCAAGGCATTCTGTGAACAGGCGAGCGACCACCTGTGGTTAATAAGCAGCAGGGCAGCCCCTTGGTACAGGACACGAAAAACAGCAGTGATCACTGTATCAGTGGCTACTAGTGACTCTTTGCTTCAACAGTGGCCCAAAATATATGGTATATGGAAACTTACATTAGTCAAAGCTGGACCAATGTAGCTATGCAAATGACTCCATACCTAGAGTTCAGCTTAAAGACTTCTAATACCAGCTAGTTCACAATTAAACAATTAAAAGGCAGCCCATACATGATCATTTTTTTTTTTGTTCAACCTGCAAGCTGAACAAAAAAAATGACGCAGTTACCTCATCTACACAATTGAGGTTGATGAGGGAATCACTCCACTGCTTGAACGAAAACAAATGACCTGATTCCCCCATCCACACCCTCAAGGTCGATGGAGGAATCACTCCTGCAGAGTTTTTGTATTCTGACAGCGGTGAGATTTCACCACCATCAGAATACACTGATCAGTGCTGCTGGCTAGCCTGTTATAGCATTGATCGATCAGGAAAACCCGACAGTGTACAACCAGTCTGCCCATACATGGATCAAAAATGTAGCTGAACCAGCTGAATTTCAATCCATGTATGGCAGGCTTAACACCGCAAATAATTTCTATCGCAGTCAGTAGATGGTGATGAGTGCATACACAGTAATCTTGGGGTGATCACTTCAAGGTCTGAACTGCTCCCCTTCATGTTAAACTGAGCAGATAAAAGTCCACTGCGATTCCAGGCATTCAGTCTAATCAGTGCACATAGAACTATTTTGGAGCACAGGACCCTACAGACATCAGTGAGCAGCCTGACCACCAAATGCAAGAGGGGTTCTTAAGACTTAAGGTTCTCATTAGTCCCAGATGAACAGGACGGGTTAAACAACGGTCTGGGTGACAGAATGCACAGACCCTCCCCGGTCGGAGGACAGAGAGCGGTTACTCATCTCCTGCTTAAGCTCTTCCAGTTTCTTCTGCAGTTCCACTCGCTTGACAAGCAAATCCTTACAGCGACTCTTGACATCATCCTACAAGAAATAATCAGGTGCTCAGTGGCTGGGGTTTCCAAGAAATATAGTACAAAGAAAAGAACAAATCCTATATATAGATGCAGCAAACTAACTAAAACAAAGTATAATGCACTGTTATTATTTGGTGTATTTAAAGCAGTATTAAACTCAAAAGCAAAAAAAGTCTGTAGTTTTTTAAAAGAACAAGCTCATCGGGAGAATGTATCAGTTTCAGAGATGAGAAAAAAAACCCTAACACTGACAGGGGTCCTTACAATGATCAGATTTTATTTATGTAAATCCTTTACCAAAAATGAAAAAAAAAAAAAAACTTTGCTGTAACTGCTTATAAAGTATTAGCTTGAGTTTGGCTTCAGTTTGTTAATGTATTTAAATCTGCTAGCCCATCTAACACTCCCCTTCCCCCAGACTGACAATGCTGCTGTCTAAAGGTCCCTCTGTGCTTCTTCATCCAGAGTGTGGGCACTCTAATATAGGAGGTGTGTTACTGGCCAGATCACCAGGTGAATACAGAGGGGGAAGAAAGCCTACAAAAAAAAATCAAATGCAGTCACCACATCTAATGATTGGTAATCTGTAGTATATTACATTTTTGATTTGGGGTTTAATATACTGCTTTAACAGCATGGGAATATTAAAAGCATGTGTATTACTGTAGTTGAGGCACCCTGGCAGTATTTAGCAGAGACCACTTTGTAGAAAGTACAGCATCCAAATATTTCCTGTAGTCAGCAACCAGTCTTTCTATTCTGGCTGGTTTCCCTTGCAGAATGCTCCTAGTTCAGAAACAGGCTCAGGATATCTAGCAAACACCGCATCTCTGACATTTTCCTACACATAGGTAACAAAAATACTGTGTATATGTGTGTGTGTATATGTATATATATATATATATATATATATATATATATATATATATATATATATATATATATATATATATATATATATATTTATTTTTTCCTCCAAACCAGCTGGCAACAGTTTTGTTGAAGGTTTTTTCTGTTCCAGCATGACTATTGTCCATGCACAAACCAATACAAAAAAAGCTTAAAAGAGGTATGCCAGGAGCCAAAACATCCGGTACTGAAAGGGATTGTAGCCTCCCTAGCGGTCTGATTATGTCAGTTTTTCTTTCTGTGCTCAAAGTAGTAAATTTTTTTGCATGGAAATATGTAGTTTTTTTATTGTAGGCCTGTAATTTTTAGGAATAACTCACTGAAATCTGTCTGAACAAGAATCTAGTAAACATCATCGTTTTACTATGTGATTTTAGTGTACTTAGTGAATGTCACTTTTCCAACTTTCAAATTTCCCGCTGTTCCGTCCCCGTATGTCCTGACATTGCAGGGAACGGAACCCAGAAGACAGATGCCAGCATCGGTCGGAGGACATTTCTGGGGATGCTGCAGGAGGGACATCGCAGGAGCGCAGGACAAGGTAAGTGAAGAAGAGATCCCGGAGCAGCGCTGCAGTGTATTCCCGAGTGTAGCTCGGGGTTACCGCTTGTGGTGCTGAAACTTTACCTCGAGTGACACTCGGGAATACCTCCAGGGAGGTTAATACAATGGTTACCCTATATTCATATCGGCTACCAAATGAATGCAGACTCACCCAGAAAAACTGCAGTAGATAAGTGGGTGTGGTCATGGAAACTCATGATAAGTACACGTGCAAAGGGAAAAGAGTTCCCCCAGAAAGACGGTTTCATATGGGACCATGCAGCTTAATAAAAAGGGCTTCATTAGAAAAACAATTATGCGTTGCACAAATAAACACACAAACGCTGAGCAGACCACCACCCTCACATCACCAAATTAAAAAGACAACACTGTCTAGTCACCTAAGCAGCTGCTCATACATCCTCATACATACACAAATGGGAGGCGAGAATAATTAAAGGTGCAATATAGAAACATATGGGATGGTTAACCTATACCAGGTGTAAAAGTATAGATAATAGTCACTCAGTAATATCTCCCTGAAGAAGCCCAAGCTCATTGGTCTGCATAGCATTTGTGTGTTTATTTGTGTACCGCATAATTGTTTTTCTAATAAAGCCCTTCTGATTAAGCTGCATGGTCCCATATGAAACTGTCTTTCGGGGGAACCCTTTTCCCTATGCACATATTCCCATGCACAAAGCCAGGTTCAGAAAGAGTTTTGTGTGGAGAAACTTGAGTGGTCTACACAGACCTCAGACCAACACTTTTGGGATGAATTGGACTGGCCACTTCAAATTACATCTTCATCAGCAGCCATCCTTGCAAATGCTCTTTTGCCAGACCGTCAACACATTCCAAATTCTACTGGAATACATTCCCAGAAAAGTGGAAACTGTTGTAAGTGCAAAAGAGAGGCCAACTCGATAGTAATGCCTTACTGGCTTTGGAACGGGATGTCCAGCAAGTTCACAGGTCAGGTGTCCACAAACATTTGGGGTAATATTATCCAAGAAACGTTACAAATGTTTTGTTAGATTGTTTGCTAAATGATTTCAGCTATAAAAATCTCTTAAGTATGCAATTTCACAAGGGTTGTCTAAATTTCGGTATACGACAAAAAAAAAAAAAAAAAAAAAAAAAAAACAGTACATACATGTGGCTTAGTCCTTGGGTTCCACCTTATGTAATATTCTGCCCAGAGCTGGAGGTGCCTTGTGCTGGTCACTGGGTACAAGACATGGTCAGAGTAATCCACAAACAGTGGATTAGTAAAGTCTTCAAGTTGGCTGTTAATGTATGACCACAAGGAGACAGTCTCGTCAAGAATGGACTAAATTGGGACACAACAAAAGAAAGTTAAGATGAATACCACAGGTCCACATTTGAGTTGACACTGAGCTCTAGACAAGCAGCTAAATACCAAGCTGAAATGCATACAGTTTAATAGTTCTCCTCAGCAAGCATTTGTTCTACTGTCCCGAAAACATATTCAAGTTGTTGAGTAACATTGAGTGAATGGCTGAAAATGCAGATTCTTTCTCTCAGAAGGGAGTGATGCTGTGTGGGGGATTAATTAACCTCCCTGGCGGTCTGATTATGTCAGTATTTCTGTGCTCAAAGCGGTACATTTTTTTGCATGGAAATTTGTAGTTTTTTTTATTGTAGGCCTGTAATTTTTAGGGATAACTCACTGAAATCTATCTGAACAAGAGTCTAGTAAACATCCCGGGTATGTTACAATTATAATTTAATAATCATAAAAAAAATAATAATATAATAATAAATTTAATTCAATAATGTAATCAAACCAAAACACTGACATTTTAAATATAGCGCCAAGTTCGCACATCACTGAGCAAAGTCGCAAAATCATTTTCAGTGTCTGATGACGAATTTCCCCACGAATCATTATTACTCAATTCTGCAAGTAGTTCTGATTTACTATCGCTGTTCTCTAGCTGGTCTAAAATCGCTTTTGACCTAAAGGGACGCTTTTTGGATGCCATGGACCTTTCCAGACAGAAAGAACGGTAAAAATGCAGGCAGGGCACAGGACAAAGCACTCGAGACAAAATGTATGTGAAATGGGTTGATACAGTAATGTTTTACTATGTGATTTTAGTGTATTTAGTGAATGTCACTTTTTCACATTTTTAAATTTCCAGTCGGTTCCGCCCCTGTACATCCTGACGTGGCAGGGAATAGAACCCAGAAGACAGATGTTGGCATCGGCCAGAAGACATTGCCGGGGGGACATCGCGGGAGCGCAGAACAAGGTAAGTGAAGAACAGATCCCTGAGCAGCGCTGCAAGGTATTCCTGAGTGTAGCTCGGGGTTGCGCTTGTGGTGCTGAAACTTTACCCCGAGCTACACTCGGGAATACCTCCAGGGAGGTTAAAGAAGGCCGGTGCTAGTGTAGGTCAATGCATTTTTGCTCGTGCTAGGTAAAATACATAGGTGGATTAAATGGTGTTTTCTATAGATCCTGGGGTTCAGCTTTAAAGAGGTTGTAAACTCTCACATATACTCAGTGAAGTGAAGTGACCACCTCTGTGATGTCAGAACAAACTCTACTCCTGTGATCCACAGGAGAGGTACAGCCAAACAACCTTTGGCTGTACTTCTTTAAAGAAAAAGTGCACTTTGCTGACCTAAGAGATCCCACCCTTCCCCTCCACGGATATATGCCAACCGAGATTCCATGCCTGAAACCTTTGGCGTTTGTTAATATCCAGTGCAGCAAGTCCTTTCTCCTGCCCCTGCTTGCACATTGTGAGAGGATTTGCAGTGCTGGATGTCAACACAGGAACCTACCAGTGTCTGATCCTGTTAAGTATGCATCTGTGGAGGGGTGGGTTGGATCCGTTAGGTCAGTAAAGAGGGACAAACATTTTTCTTTAAAGGCTCAGTCCACCCAAAACTAATATTTCAGTTTTCAGTAGATGCCGGTATGTTTGGCATATTGATTTCTGTTGGCGAGACCTGTACACTTGACACCTGCTGTGGCCATAATGAGGGATTTCCACTTACCCTGTCCAATTTTTAACAATTTTAATATTCCCAGGCAGACAGAAAGAGAGAGACAACAGTACTGAGGTCTTACTGTTGATGTATTCAAAAAGCCTATCAAACAATTATGGCACCTATAGTACTATGTAATTTCTTATGAACTCTAATAACAAACCGGATAAAAAGAAATAGGACAGAGGATGGCGTGGGAAGTCTCATAATTCTTACCTGCATCGCTGTGGAAGATCAAGTTTTTCCCACAGGGATGGTAAACTGTACCTCTAATATTAAAGTGGAATTTCAATCACAGTCTAACTAAGGCTAAATCTACTAATCTAACTCTGTAAAGAAAGGATCTGTATACACACCTGTTCAGAAGATGCTCCAGTCCAGTCCCAGGATCTGCTATCAGTGGCAGCTTCTGTGTAGACAATGGGCAGCCAAAATTGGATTCCCCATAGTAAGTCTATGGATGACGTCATCTGGGGTTTCTCTCCTGCACACAGAAGCCACCACTTGAGAACAGGCTAGAGCAGCTTCAGAATAGCTAAGTATACAAATCTTTTCTTTACAGGGTTAGACAGAATCAGCTTAGAATGGGTGTGGGAGTAGATTTAGCCTTACTTAGATTGTGACTGGAATTCCACTTTAATTTTTAAATTTAAACTTCAAGCAAACATAAAAAGCCAATTTTTAAGGTTCAAGCAGTAGTGAAGTAAAGGGTTGTGCCCCCTGCATACCAGCACATGACAGATTTACCAACAACCAGAGCCCTCCACCACTGCACTGTCATGGCTTCCTGGCACTTCCATGTTCGCCCAGTCTTCCTTCCAGGTTTTGTATCTTCGGCTACTTGAATGGCTGAGCCGGGGTGATGAAACCTAGATCACAGTACCCACCACCAGGCAGCAGGGACATTTATGACGAAGAGAGACCTCTAGGGTCTCTTCTGTTATAAAAACCCCACCTATCAGTGGTTTTTCTAATCGACTCTTTACTACCACTTTAAACTATTACCTAAAATGTGTATTACAGATAGACTCTAGGGCCAGGCCGTTGTGGTGCATTATTATTGTGCATGATGTCATGTGTTGCTCATTCATTTTGTATAGACTGCAAACAAATGGCAATTCCTTAAAAATGGACAAGACGTATATAGTGGTGTAGATCGGAGATGTGGGTGGATGCGAAAGCAGAGGAGTTCTTATGAGAACCAGCCAGGTTTACAGAGCAGCCACATCTATCAAAGCACCAGGCAGTGAGAGTCACGTTACAAGATCTGACCAGACCAGTTGGATGACACCAGATGTTCAGTGGTCTTTATTATAAATGCGCATTAAGATTGCGTATCTGGTGAGTGCGCAATCTTTATATTATTTATCACCTCCTTCACGGTTCCACATGTTGGACGTCTGAAGATCATCTGAGATCTCAATAGCACTCCTGTTTTGAACTCATTGATTTTATTGACACTTCCCTCACTTACAGTCACTGTATAGTGGCGTTTTTACAAGCACATGGTCACTGTATTTGCTTTTTAATCTTGATTTTTACTAATATTGTGGATATTTTTTATAGCGCTGCACCCTCTTGTCTCTGTATATAGTGGTGTGTTCCAGTGCAGGTGCCTTGCCCACTACTGTAGCAGGGCATTGGGGTGCCGTTTAAAATGAATGGTACCAGGTGTTTTACCCAGTGTTTCTGTAATACATAAATATAAATGGGCAGAAATGTTATTTGGAACACTGCCACAATAAGTAGAAGAAAGTTGTTTTTTATTAGCAATGTGATCAAATCAGGTTCAGAACACAGGAAAGCGTTTATCTGATTCTTTATGATCTAAATTGCAAGCTGGGGTTGTGGAGGAGACTGATCTGTATAGCTTGAATGTAACAGAGAAAAGTGAGAAGACCCACCAGGCTACACAGTGAGGCAGGCATGTGCAACATGGATGACCACAACTAGATCATTTGGAATGGAAAAGTGTCCACATATATGTATTAGCATTGTGCATTTAGAGGTTTCATCGTTAAACAAATAGAAAGATTAACAAACGTATAAGCATCAGACTTTTGCATTTAGGTAAAGGGTGCCTCTGTGATTTTCCCTGGTCTTTATAGTCCACATATACTCAACTAGCGGTAAGTGCACCCTTGGAGATGGGAGGTACTTAAATCTGCCGATGTAGATACACTGGGGGACATATTTGATAAAAACTTTGTCTCAGCTGGAGCGCAGCCAATCAGCTATTACATTTTCTTTATCTAAGCTGTGTAGAAACAATGAAAGATAGAAGCTGATTGGGTGCTATGGGCAATGGTAACAGATTCAATTCAATTCCCCCCATATATAATTTCATCAATAGATTAGACATAAAACTATCCCGAGGATGTAATGCTACAGCATAATTTAACCCAAAAAAAAAACAGAAAAGTAATATTTGCTAACATTAAAGGACAAGTTCACCTTTAAAAAAATAAATAAATAAATGCTCATATTTGTAGCAGATAAAATAATAAGCATTTATTATTTTTTTTCTAAGTTTCCTGCAGAGCATTGCAACCACAAATCAGCAAATCGCGGGTGCAATCTTCTCCTGCTGACTCTCAGCATAACGGTTTGCTCATACCTCATAGGGCAGGCAAATACCTGTGAGCTGGAAGAATCAATGGACTGCAAGAACACACTCCCCGGCACTCTCGTAGTTCATTGAGAACTGAAAGTCATAAGCCGTAATGGTTGATGGTACTTGTAGGCATTCATTCACGGGAAACTGTAAATGAATGAATCGGTCGTGTGAGCAGAGCAGCTTTATCTTCGAATTGTGATAGCGGGTGTGGGAGAAGATTCCCCACCCGCTCTCACAGGGAGGGAGGAGGTGAGTAAGGAGAGACTGCAGGAACTGTAACATGTTACACATTCCACCCTAAAAATGGGTGAAACATGTTCCTAAGGTGAACTTATCTTTTAAATATGCTATTGAAAGTGTTTTGTTCTATCTTTTTGATAGGTTTAAAGGATAAGTTCACCTTTGGGAACATGTTACATGTTCCCCACTCCCGCAGCCGCTGCCTGCGCTGCTGCATCTAGTGACAGCTAGTGGGGGATCTTCTCCCACAACCCCCCTCCCCCTGCTAGCTGCTTTTTTTTTTTTATTCACTCATTCACAGGGTTTTGTGAAGGGAAACTACAAGGACCAACACCTTTGCTGTTGAGCACTGTGGTAGTTCATTCTCTCTTCCTGTCAGTGTGTGTCTGCCTGCCTGTACGAGATCTGATAGGTCTGCAGGAGTCCTACATGGCACCCATGATCTTCTGATTACGGGTGCAATGCTTTACAGAGGCCTAGTAAAAAAAAAATAATACATTTTGTTTACCTGCATTTATTATTTTTTTAGGTGAATTTATCCTTTAAAAAAAAAAAAAAAAAATCTGTTGATCTTCTAGAAATCTTGTGGTTTGAGTGTTGCCTTGCTAGAACAGGAAGGGTGTTACTGGCAAGATCCTCAGGTGAAAAAAAAAAAGAAAACAATTTTCTAAAGAGGAAACTAATGCAGCCACAACATCTTAGGACTGGTAAACTGCAACATAGTACATTTTTGTCTTTGGGTTTAGATACATTTTAACTACCTAAAGGCACAATGTATTTCCTGGAAAATATTAATATGTAATAATCGTTTACATGTCAAGAGGAACCACAGTGGTTTAGTGGTAAGCACCACAGGGATCCTCCATTTGAATCTCAGCCAGGACACTATCTGCATGTAGTTTATATGTTCCTTCTGTGCTTGCATACGTTTCCTCTGGGTAGTCTGGTTTCTTCCCACACTCCAAAGACATGCTGGTAAGTTAATTGGCTTCTGTCTAAGTTGGCTGTACTATGTATATGAGATAGGGACTTTAGATTGTAAGCTCTTTGAAGGCAAATACTGATGTTAATGTACAGTGTGTAAAGTGCTGAGTAAATTGTTAGCACTATATATAAATACCTGTAATAAGTAAGGGGTACCTGAGATACAGTAAATCACACCAGTGGGTACATAATAAACCTTAGCTATCATAAAAGTGTACCTACTTTAATAAAGTTAAGAAACAATTCTAAAGACCATCAATACAGTGACTAAATGGTTAGCACTTCTGCCTGGCAGTACTAGGGTGGTTGGTTCAAATCCCAATCACGGCACCGCCTGCCTGGAGTTTGCATGTTCTCCTGTGCCTGCGTGGGTTTCCTCCGGATACTCCGGTTTCCTCCTACTCTCCAAAGACATGCTGGTAGGTTAATTGGATCCTGTCTAAATTGGCCCTAGGATGTGTATGTATGAATGTAAGTTAGGGACCTTAGATTGTACGCCCCTTGAGGGTTAGGGACTGATGTGAATGTACAATATATATGTGAAGTGCTGCGTGAACTGACGGCGCTATATAAGTACCTGAAATAAATAATAAACAAAATATTATTACAGTCCGAGAAGACCTACCTCTTGTAGTCTTTGCTGCTCACTGTCACACAGGAATGTTCCAAACAAGCAGCTGTAAAGGTGATCCAGAATAGTCAGCAGAAAATGTTCATTGAATTCAAATGCATGAGGAAACTGTGGATAATATCAGCATAAATTACTTATGTAATGTCACAAGGCATAAGACCAAAGTGCAACAATCTAGAGGAAACAGAGGAATATGTTTTAGGCTTCATTCACACCATATGTGCAGAAAAACCGATGGAAAAAACGTGCAGATTTCACTTGCAGAGACATCAGTTTTCACAGGCGTTTCAGTGAGTTTGATACATGTTGCAGATTCCTGCACAGAAAAAAATCTGCATGTCATAATCAGTGTTATGGTGTGAACAGGGCACATAGAGTAATGGTTTTTCTTTGTGTGCTTCCAGAACACGTGGAGAAAAACGCACGTCTCTGCACCATGGTGTGAAATTGGCTTTAACTGCTTCCTCTTTTCCTGCAGGAAGCGAGCTGATAATACGCAGACCAAGACCTAACTCTCCCCAAAAAAAACTTCTGTTCCCCCCTCTTTCTATGCAGAATGAAAAAAGATCCTGATCCATCATGGGAGTTAGTTTTTTTTTTCACTAAAATAATACTGGGGATGTGTTACATGGTCATTTTGCCATGTAAGAAATACTGTATAGTATATACACTGCTCAAAAAAATTAAAGGAACACTTTTTAATCAGAGTATAGCATCAAGTCAATTAAACTCCTGGGATATTGATCTGGTCAGTTAAGTAGCAGAGGGGGTTGTTAATCAGTTTCAGCTGCTTTGGTGTTAATGAAATTAACAACACGTGCACTAGATGAGCAACAATGAGATGACCCCCAAAACAGGAATGGTTTTACAGGTGGAGACCACTGACATTTTTTTTCCCCACTCATCTTTTCTGTTTTTCACTAGTCTTGCATTTGACTAGGGTCAGTGTCACTACTGATAGCATGAGGCCATACCTGGACCCTACAGAGGTTGCACAGGCAGTCCAACTCCTTCAGGATGGCACATCAATACCTGCCATTGCCAGAAGGTTTGCTGTGTCTCCCAGCACAGTCTCAAGAGCATGGAGGAGATTCCAGGAGACAGGCAGTTACTCTAGGAGAGCTGGACAGGGCCATAGAAGGTCTTTAACCCATCAGCAGGGCATGTATCTGCTGCTTTGTGCAAGGAGGAACAGGATGAGCACTGCCAGAGCCCTACAAAATGACCTCCAGTAGGCCACTGGTGTGAATGTCTCTGACCAAAAAAAATCAGAAACAGACTTCATGAGTGTGGCCTGAGGGCCCGATGTCTTCTAGAGGGCCTTGTGCTCACTGCCTGGCATCATAGAGCTCGACTGGCATTTGCCATTGAACACCAGAATTGATCCGCCACTGGCGCTCTGTGCTTTTCACAGATGAGAGCAGGTTCACCCTGAGCACATGTGACAGGCGTGAAAGGGCCTGGAGAAGCCGTGGAGAACGTTACGCAGCCTGTAACATCATTCAGCATAACCGTTTTGGTGGTGGGTCAGTGATGGTCCAGGGAAGCATATCCATGGAGGGACGCACACAACTCTACAGGCTAGGCAATGGCACCCTGACTGCCATTAGGTATCGGAATGAAATCCTTGGACCCATTGTCAGACCCTACGCTCGCAAAAATTGAAAACAAACAACAGACTGCAAAAGATAGCAGGACAAACCCCAAAACATTCTTCAAATATATTCATAGTGAAAAGGTCCGAGCATGTAGGCCCTTTACAAAATAATCTAGAGTGGGTGACTGGGGACAAGAGAAGGTAAATTTACTAACTACCTTCTTCAGCTCTGTTTATACAGAGGAGCATGGGGAGCTCTTGTCCATAATGGGAATAGTACTGGACACAGCTCCAGATGATCCAAAAATATTTAGACAGTATAAAGGTGAATAAAGCACCTGGACCAGATGGCATACACCCATGGGTCCTTAAAGAATTGAGCTCTGTCATTGCAAAGTCATTGTTTCTTATTTTTAGGGACTCTTTATGACTGGCATAGTACCACTGGATTGGCGTAAGGCCAATGTAGTCCCTATATTTAAAAAGGGGTCAAAATCTTTACCAAGTAATTATAGACCTGTTATTTTAACTTCTATAGTTGGGAAGATTCTGGAGAGTTTAATAAAAGATCACATAGATGAGGTCTTGCTGGAAAAAAATATTTTAAGCAACAGGCAGCAGCATGGATTCATGAAAGACAGAAGTTGTCAAACAAATCTGATCTCTTTCTATGAGGAGGTGAGCAAAACCTTGGGCAGAGAGGTGGCGGTGGACGTGGTATACTTGGACAGAGGGGTGGCGGTGGACGTGGTATACTTGGATTTTGCAAAAGCGTTTGACACAGTTCCCCACACACACGGCTAATGTGTAAGGTAAAGTCTACAGGCTTGGAAAAATCTGTATGTAAATGGGTAGAAAACTGGATTCAGAGTAGTGGTTACTGATTCATACTCTGAATGGTCTAGGGTTGTCAGTGGTGTACCCCAAGGTTCAGCGTTGGGACCCTTACTTGTTAATATATGTATAAACAATATAGGGTCTGGGATTGAAAATACCTTTTCAGTCTTTGCAGATGACACCAAGCTGTGCAGTGGAATAAAGTCCTTACAGGATGTCTTCAACTTACAAGCCAACCTCAATACACTGTATAATTGGGCAACTATGTGGCAAATGAGGTTTAATGTTGATATATGTAAGGTTATGCACTTGGGGGTTAAGAATATGCATGCATCAAACATACTAGGGGGGGGTACAACTGGGGGAATCAATGGTGGAGAAGGATCTGGGACTTCTGGTAGATCATTTTGGATTTTGGCTCCTCCTCCTCTTTGTGTGCCCCCATAGCAAGCCTCCTACTATGGGGGCACACAGTGCATGCTCACTCCTAAGCTGTGTGTGTCTTTGGAGCTGCACTCCATATACAGACACAGTGGGGCTTAGCCTTGCCTTCCGCTTCCTCATTGCATTTATTTCACAGCAGCGGAAGCCAATGGCTCCTCCTGCTTGTTGAGTCCCTGTGTAAAGAGGAGGACAGAGAGCAATAAAATGTTTTTTTATCTTAATGCAGGGAATACATTAAAGTACAAAAAAACTTTTTTGGCTTTAGAACCACTTTAAGGAATTTCCCCATATTTGTAGAGATTTTCTTTCACTTCCTGTTGTATCTACTGCACAAGATAAAAGGTTGAATGCCCCCAATTTGGAACATATTCGGCACATGACATATCTGGTCATCGAATGGCAATTGTTGAAACAGACAGACAAGTGAGGTCTCTAGACACTTTTTGAATCATCTTTTATCACAGCTAAGTCTTTTCTCTTGTATCTCATTAATGCAGATAAATATACACCTCGACATTCTGTGCCTGAACCAGCTTCCAGTTCATACACTGCTACAAAGGTAACCCTGTACACATCACCTAATTACAATGGTACTAAACATGTAACCCTAGTCTTCTGTATGAGCGCAATAACTCACCTGCCTCGTCATTTGCCAAACACAATCAATGAACTGCAGGAACACCGGGGACCTGTCAGCATCTGCGTGGTTCTTGTCACCATGGCCAACTCTCTTCATTGGGGAAACAAGAAAGCCTTTAAGATTCTGATGTAACTATTATCAATACTACATAAGTAATGGGTGCTGTAATGAACTTCTCAGAAATCATTCTTATACAACTCACAGTGAAAATAAATCTAAAATATAAACAGTATTCCAATCTGATTAATAATATGAAACTGTACAAATCCATAAGGGCTCGTTCACACGAAAACAATGCTCATTAACATTCCTATAGCATTTATGACATGTTTATGATGTGTTTTTCCTTGTGTTTATGTAGCACTGAAAATGCTCCAAGAATGCTTCATAAATCCACATGAAAGTGTTGCTTTTCTAGTGGGAAGTGCTTAACCACTTGTCGACCGCAGATTGCCGAATGACAGCTACACTGAGGCCGGCCTGTTCTGGGAGGCCGTCATTTGATGTCCTCCCAGAACGCACCCCTGGGGGGCGCGCACCCGGCAATCTCCGTGATCCCTGTGTCCTACGGACACAGCTGATCACGTGATGTGGTAAATGGCCAATCACAGCAGCCTTTTACCACGTGATCAGCCGTGTCCAATGACACAGCAGATCACCAGTAAATGCAGTTGACGGTTATCGGCTGCACTTTCCTTACACTGTGTTTTTTTCTGTTGTTTTTTTTTTTTTAAACCGCTATTTGTAGCAAATAGGTGGAGTTGGGTTTTGACAGACTATACTGTACATTCCAATTAACCCTTTTACTACAACCACGTATGGCATACGTCAGTGGCAGCTGAGGGTTTTACACATACTCCTGGCTGCTACAGCAGGAAGAGTTGTGTGTACAGCCCTGGCCAAAAGTTTTGAGTACGACACAAATATTAATTTTCACAAAGTCTGCTGCATCATGTTTTTTAGATCTTTTTGTTAGATGTTGCTATGGTATACTGAAGTATAATTACAAGCATTTCATAAGTGTCAAACGCTTTTATTGACAATTACATGAAGTTTATGCAGAGTCAATATTTGCTGTGTTGACCTTTCTTGTTCAAGGCCTCTGCAATTTGCCCTGGCATGCTGTCAATCAACTTCTGAGCCTGACTGATGGCAGCCCATTCTTGCATAATCGATGCTTGGAGTTTGTCAGAATTTGTGGGGGGTTTTTTGTTCACCTGCCTCTTGAGGATTGATTACAAGATCTTAATGCGATTCCTGGGAAGTTCCTGGCCATGGACTCAAAATTTCGATGTTTTGTTCCCCAAGCTACTTAGTTATCACCTTTGCCTCATGGCAAGGTGCTCCATCATGCTGGAAAAGGCATTGTTCATCACCAAACTGTTCTTGGATGGTTGGGAAAAGTTGCACTCGAAGGATGTTTTTGTACCATTCTTTATTCATGGCTCTGTTCTTAGACAAAATTGTGAGTGAGCCCACTCCCATGGCTGAGAAGCGACCCCACACATAAAAGGGTCTCAGGACGCTTTACTGTTGGCATGACAAAGGACTGATAGTAGCGCTCATCTTTTCTTGTCCAGGCAAGGCTTTTTCCAGATGACCTGAACAATTGGAAAGGGGATTCATCAGAGAAAATGACTTTACCCCAGTCCCTAGCAGTCCAATCCCTGTACCTTTTGCAGAATATCAGTCTATCCCTGATGTTTTTTCCAGGAGAGAAGTGGCTTCTTTGCTGCCCTTCTTGACACCAGGCCATCCTCCAAAAGTCTTCACCTCATTGTGCATGCAGATGCACTCACACCTGCCTGCTGCCATTTTTGAGCAAGCTCTGCTCTGGTGATGCCCCAATCCCTCAGCTGAATCAATATTACGAGATGGTCCTTGTGTTTGCTGGACTTTCTTGGGCACCCTGAAGCCTTCTGCACAACAACTGATCCTCTATCCTTGAAGTTCTTGACGATCCAATAAATGGTTGATTTAGGTGCAATCTTAGTAGCAGTAATATCCTTGCCTGTGAATTCTCTTTTTGTGCAAAGCAATGATGACTGCATGTGTTTCCATGCAGGTAAATTAATATTTGTGTCAATCTCAAAACCTTTGGCCTGGGTTGTAATTCTCACAAGCTGACTGTCAGCTTTTAGATGAAAGTGATTGGGCAGCTAATACAGCCACCAGATCACTTTCACAGACCCCCAGAAGTGCTCCAGCTACCACTATTTTATTCTCCAGAATCTCTGCTTTTAGAAAAGTAGTGCTTTGGGGGTTTTAACTAATCTTCAAGCCTAAAATGATTTTCAAATGTGTGTGAAAAATCAAAAAAACATCCCTGGCAATGGAAGGGTAAACCTTCATTATCCTAAGCTGGAAAATTACATTATTCACATTTTTTTGCCAAGGTATGGGGACTATTGCACATATTAAAAATATAATTTGCTAAACTTTTACATAGAATAACATTTTGCCTAGGATTACCAAGTTTTGCTTGACAAATTGGTTACTAATCTTGGCATGTAATTAACATGTAAGTCATGAAATATATGTCACCCTGGGCAATGACGTAAACTTACAAGATAGAACCTGTGCCCAAAGCTGAGCCATTCCTTTTCGATGAGCACTTCAAAGCCACGAATAGTGCGGTAGTAACCATCCAGCATGAGCATGGCAAGAGAGGTGAGCTGTGCTGTGCGGTCCCAGCCATCACTGCAATGAACAACCACAGAGGTCTTTCCAGATTCCACTTTGTCAGCAATCCGCAAGGCACCAGCGAGGATGGACTACAGGGAACAAACAAACAAAAAAAAAAAAGAGTGGAATGATAAACTATGAGTAGTACAGATGTCTGTTTGAAGCATGCTGCTATTCTTTATTTAGTTTACACTCTGAAAGGAAAGACAGGAATTTAAAGTTGACTATGACAAGGGGGCACTCTTTAAGTCTGGAGGAAAAGAGATTTAATCTCCAAACACGGAAAGGTTTCTTCATAGTAAGAGCTGTGAAAATGTGAAATAGACTCCCTCAAGAGTTGGTTCTGGCCAGCTCAGTGGATTGCTTTAAAAAAAGGCCTGGATTGTTTCCACGATAATATAACTGGATACTAACATTTATAAGTAAAGTTTGATCCAGGGAATATCCGATTGCCTCTCAAGTGATGAAGAAGGACTTTTTTCCACTGCAGGAGCAAACTAAATCATCCTTTGCTGGGGTTTTTTTTTGCCTTCCTCTGGATCAACTGTGGGTGTACGATAATAACTTTTTTTTTTGTATGGTTGAACTAGATGGACTTTGTCTTTTTTCAGCCAGACTATGTAACTATGAATCAAAAAAGTGAAGATTTGTCACATCAAGGGCAGGGGTGGGTAATTCATTTTCCCAGGGGGGGCACATGAGAAACTGGGACTGTTGTGGGGGGCCAAACTAAATTCTGTGCAATATTAATTTTGTACCTTGGAAGGTCTGTAAGTACATAAACATATAGAAAAATGCCCAGTGCTAAGAATAATAGGTATGAAATGGGTGGGTGGGGGTGGTAAGAATTAAAAAGCTAAGATGCATTTTTATTCCCCCGTCCTCCCAACTGATCTGTAAAATGACAACTCTGGATTGGGCTGATTATATGCCATGGCTGCTGCATTTTTAACCCAGGATGCAGTGTTTGAGAAGCAGCACCGATCGTTAAACTTACCCATCAAATTCAATGGGGCCGAGCCACATCTGTGTGCAATGTAGGCAATTGCAGTGTGGCAGTTGCAGGCAATTGCAGTGCCCCCTGAAAAGCACTTTGACTGAAAGGTAGGGAGGCCAAAATTGGTAAAGTGGGGATTTTGGCAGATCCTGACCTGGAGCGAAGAACAGGTGCATGACTCCTGGGATTTGCAGCTTGCAGGGTGCCAACACAGAAAGAGCAAGCTATACAAAATGGCAACCACCTAAATGTATAACTAGCCTTTAAAGTAAGGTGCACATGGAAGAGGACTGCACATCACAACAAAAAAAAAAAAAATAGATTTCCCAGCAAGCTTACCAGCTAGTTTGCACTAAAACAAAATTGACCCTTTTTACCAATTCATGTTAAAAACAGAGGGTTTAGTTGCACACATTTGCAAATATATGTGGAAGCCACACTACCACGCCAAGGTTCCTTTGCTAAGTGTGGTCCTAACTCTATGTTTGAGAGTCTCCATGTTGGAGCATATACAGTATAGCACTGAATAAATTAAGGGCAGGTTTGCCTGGAGGGAGCCCAGCCCTCCTTAAAGGCACAGGGACACATTGAAAGTCCTGCAAAAGGACAATGGTAGCTGAAGGCGTCCAATGTGTCCCCATGCCAAATCCAGCTAGCAAGCTATACAAAAAATGGCAAAACACCCAAATTTATAACTAGTCTTTTAATAAGGTCGCACATAGAAAGGCACTGCATACCTGCCCTTGCTTTATCCACTGCAGTATAAGCTCCATCATGGAGACTATCAAACAGAGTTAAAACTGTGTTTAGCAGAGGAGCCTTGGTGAGGCAGTGCGGCTTCCACATATATTTGCAAATTTGTGCAAATAAAATCTCTGTTTTTAAAGTGTATTGTTAGACAGGACCAATTTGTCTTTTTGAAGGCTAGCTGGTAAGCGTTCTGGAATTTTTTTTTTTTTGTGATATGCAATGCCCTTCTATGTGCACCTTACTTTAAAGTCGATTTATAAATTGGGGTGGTTATTTTTTGTATAGCAAGATTTCCCCAAACTACTCACGTGCAATATGGATTTGTCTATGGCCTGAAACTCTCGATTTGCTTGATGCGTCACCAATCACACTTAAGCAGCCTGCCCACTGTATGGCTTTCAACAGCTCACTTCTAGTTCTGATTACTTAAATATACCTTTAAACCAGTGGTTCTCAACCTTTCTAATGCCGCGACCCCTTAATACAGTTCCTCATGTTGTGGTGACCCCCAACCATAAAAATTATTTTCGTTGCTACTTCATAACTGTAATTTTGCAGTGGGAGGACTAGTGCCACATCACTGATGTCAGTGGGATGAATAGTGTCCCATCGTTAGTATCAGTGGGAGGAATAGTGCCCCATCACTGATGTCAGTGGGAGGAATAGTGTCCCATCGTTGGTATCAGTGGGAGGAATAGTGCCCCATCATTGCTGTCAGTGGGAGGAATAGTGCCCCATCATTGGTGTCAGTGGGAGGAATAGTGTCCCATCATTGGTGTCAGTGGGAGGAATAGTGCCCCATCATTGGTGTCAGTGGGAGGAATAGTGCCCCATCATTGGTGTCAGTGGGAGGAATAGTGCTCCATCATTGGTGTCAGTGGGAGGAATAGTGCCCAATCATTGGCGTCAGTGGGAGGAATAGTGCCTCATCATTGGCGTCAGTGGGAGGAATAGTGCCCCATCATTGGCGTCAGTGGGAGGAATAGTGTCCCATCATTGGCGTCAGTGGGAGGAATAGTGTCCCATCATTGGTGTCAGTGGGAGGAATAGTGTCCCATCATTGGTGTCAGTGGGGGGAATAGTGCCCCATCATTGGTATCAGTGGGGGGAATAGTGCCCCATCATTGGTATCAGTGGGAGGAATAGTGCCCCATCATTGGTATGAGTGGGAGGAATAGTACCCCATCATTGGAAGTGGGAGGAATAGTGCCCCATCATTGGTGTCAGTGGGAGGAATAGTGCCCCATCATTAGTATCAGTGGGAGGAATAGTGCCCATCATTAGTATCAGTGGGAGGAATAGTGCCCCATCATTGGTGTCAGTGGAAGGAATAGTGCCCCATCATTGGTATGAGTGGGAGGAATAGTGCCCCATCATTGGTATCAGTGGGAGGAATAGTGCCCCATCATTGGTATGAGTGGGAGGAATAGTGCCCCATCATTGGTGTCAGTGGGAGGAATAGTGCCCCATCATTGGTGTCAGTGGGAGGAATAGTGCCCCATCATTGGTGTCAGTGGGAGGAATAGTGCCCCATCATTGGTGTCAGTGGGAGGAATAGTGCCCCATCATTGGTGTCAGTGGAAGGAATAGTGCCCCATCATTGGTATAAGTGGGAGGAATAGTGCCCCATCATTGGTGTCAGTGGAAGGAATAGTGCCCCATCATTGGTATGAGTGGGAGGAATAGTGCCCCATCATTGGTATGAGTGGGAGGAATAGTGCCCCATCATTGGTATGAGTGGGAGGAATAGTGCCCCATCATTGGTGTCAGTGGAAGGAATAGTGCCCCATCATTGGTATGAGTGGGAGGAATAGTGCCCCATCATTGGTATGAGTGGGAGGAATAGTGCCCCATCATTGGTGTCAGTGGGAGGAATAGTGCCCCATCATTGGTATCAGTGGGAGGAATAGTGCCCCATCATTGGTATCAGTGGGAGGAATAGTGCCCCATCATTGGCGTTGGGGGGAGGAATAGTGCCCCATCGTTGGTGTCAGTGGGGGGAGGAATAGTGCCCCCATCGTTGGTGTCAGTGGGGGGAGGAATAGTGCCCCATCGTTGGTGTCAGTGGGGGGAGGAATAGTGCCCCATCGTTGGTGTCAGTGGGGGGAGGAATAGTGCCCCATCGTTGGTGTCAGTGGGGGGAGGAATAGTGCCCCATCGTTTGGTGTCAGTGGGGGGAGGAATAGTGCCCCATCGTTGGTGTCAGTGGGGGGAGGAATAGTGCCCCATCGTTGGTGTCAGTGGGGGGAGGAATAGTGCCCCATCGTGTCAGTGGGGGGAGGAATAGTGCCCCATCGTTGGTGTCAGTAAGGGGAGGAATACTGTCTCATCGTTGGTGTCAGTGGGGGGAGGAATAGTGCCCCATCAGTTGGTGTCAGTGAGGGGAGGAATAGTGCCCCATCGTTGGTGTCAGTGAGGGGAGGAATAGTGCCCCATCGTTGGTGTCAGTGAGGGGAGGAATAGTGCCCCATCGTTGGTGTCAGTGAGGGGAGGAATAGTGCCCCATCGTTGGTGTCAGTGGGGGGAGGAATAGTGCCTCATCGTTGGTGTCAGTGGGGGGAGGAATAGTGCCTCATCGTTGGTGTCAGTGGGGGGAGGAATAGTGCCTCATCGTTGGTGTCAGGGAGGGGAGGAATAGTGTCTCATCGTTGGTGTCAGTGGGGGGAGGAATAGTGCCCCATCGTTGGTGTCAGTGGGGGGAGGAATAGTGCCCCATCATTGGTGTCAGTGAGGGAGGAATAGTGCTCCATCATTGGTGTCAGTGAGGGGAGGAATAGTGCCCCATCGTTGGTGTCAGTGGGGGGAGGAATAGTGCCCCATCGTTGGTGTCAGTGGGGGGAGGAATAGTGCCCCATCGTTGGTGTCAGTGGGGGGGGAGGAATAGTGCCCCATCGTTGGTACAGTGGGGGGAGGAATAGTGCCCCATCGTTGGTATTAGTGACACAAATGATGGGGCACTATCCCTTCCACTGACACCAATGATACTTACCTTGCTGACTCCTGCTCCAGCCTGGGCTCGCTCTCTCCCTCTCCCATCTACAGCCTGCATACCTGGCTGCAGCAGCAAAATTTGCACTTACCTGTCAGCTGTCTTCCTTCTCTGGCCTCTCTTCACTCGTTCCTGCAGCTCCCTCGATCTTCTTCGATCTCCGCGCGCTGCCGCTCGGCTCCTCCTCTCCAAGCTCCACCTTCTCGCCGGTGATTGGCCGCCTGTGTGCCTCTCCTGAGCTACAGTTCCGGTGGCCAATCAGCGCGAGGAGGCGGTGACAGGGGCAGCATATCATCCCGCCCACACATCGCCGGAGACAGCAGCGGTGTCTCGGTTCCTAAGACCATCGGAAATATGTGTTTTCCGATGGTCTTAGGCGACCCCTGGGAAATGGTCGTTCGACCCCCCAAAGGGGTCGCGACCCCCAGGTTGAGAACCGCTGCTTTAAACACATGCCACCCAACACCAGTGCATCCATTAAATAAATAAATGTAAACATTTATAAAAAGCTCTTAAAGCAGTACTCAAACCCTGACCACCTCTCAATTTCCTGTAAGCCCAGGGCATCAAAAACACAGCTTGGACTCAAGGAGGAATGATTCTTACGTCGCTATAAAGCACTATTCTATACATTATTCAGGACTGCCCACAGCTGCTGCAGAAAGAAAGGAAAGAGGACCCCAGGACATCACTTGACAGAACCGTGGGCAACTCCAAAAAAAAAGGTAAACCTAGAATTGGACTTTAGCTTTAGTTTGACTGAAAAACAGAGTAACGGTGATATACCTTTAGATGCATTATGACATATAAAACTGACCTTAATGTGCTCCAGCCAGTGCGTGGACTCCAGATTTGACAGCCAGTGGGATTCCTGAATAATAGGATAGGAGATCTCCTTCAGCTTCCTCAGAGATTCCCTCATCACGTGAATATTGTGGATGTCCAGAAAGATCAGCTCCGCGTTCTGGTACGCATCCTCACTCTCAAATCCTCCTCCTTTAGACTAACAACAAAACAGAAACTGCTTACCAGTGACAGTGGATGACATGGTCTCAGAAGTCATCTGTGTAACAAACACCATTGCCAGTTCACACAGGACAATCCCCATTCTCATATCTAAAGATAGATATATTAGAGAAGCCAAACTATAGGCTACTACAAACCAACTTCTTAGGACCAAATTGAAGCAATTGCATAGGTCTGAAAATTAACTATTTTGCCAATAGACATTCTAAGTGAACATGCAGATTCTGGCCAAATTGTCATTTGTGGCACATAGAATGATCATTTCAGAAATGCAATTAATGAAGTCAAATGGATTCAAATAGTCCATTGTGTGAAAAATTAATCTGTGTATGGACAGCATAACATTGTTAAATGTTGCTAAAAAGTTGAGATTCATTGTGATATATCTGTGTTTCTAACCGTACATCTTGAGCAGGCTTATTTTGTGTGTAAATAAATACTACTACCTTATTAGCCACAGCATTGGCACTAGCCCTAGCATCAAAAATGAAGATCTTATGGGATTGCGCATTGGCGTCCATGATGGATTGGAGGTACTTCTCATCTTCTTTACACCTCTTCCCATTGACACCTGGGGTGGGCTGACTGCACCGTACGATAGTAGCCTGACTTTCCGGATGAATCCAAGAGAGAACCTGTAAACAAACAAACAAACCACACAGTTCAGTGACTCAGATCATAAATCATAGGTCATAAAGTAAAGACTACTTATTTGCAAGATAAACATGATTCTGGTCAGAAGTAAGTTTCTTCGTTTTTAACTGAGCAGCCCTTGTTCCTTTTCTAAACAGACAGAACTCATCTAAATTCTAGTAAAATAAAGCTGCTTCATGCTCTTGTTTGTCTTGATTGACAGATAAAGAGACATCAAAGAAGAAACATTGATGCATTCTGCCAATTTTACTGGTATTTTTTTTCTTTTTAACATACCAAGACCAGGCAATGTCTGAAAGTCATGATCCTAAAGCCGGCTTCTCTGTGGCAGCTACGTTTCTGTGTCTATATACTAGACAGAACTCATTTCATTAGAGTTTTACAAATGATTGTCCCAGCTGTCTATGTCTGCTAGCTGAGTCAGCCAATCAGAAAACAGTAAAGATGTGTTCTGTCAGTTGCATCAAGACAGTTTTCAATAAACAAATCCACAGACAGTAGAAGATTGGCAGATGAGGAGGTGAATCCTTTATCCAATAGAAAAAACATGGTATGAATATATATTAACATACACAGATGATATGAACAGTACTCCAATTGCTGTATAATTAAGCAGATGAAACATTTGTACGTACTGGTATACGCCCATTTGATCTGAATGCAGCCACCCTCCTTACTTCATCATCAGACATAGTTACTGGGATCACCAGAGTGGCTGGGTAGGTGTCACAAAGATCATACCGGTCATTAATTCTTGTAATTCTCCAACTCTCATTAGGCACCCCCTAAAATATAGAACATTGAAACATTACTACAAACTGATGTATAAATAAAAAATTAAAAAAAAAACCTGACAGTTGCGTTTAACTCCTAAACTGTCCAGCATTGAATTATTTTTGTTTCAAAATTGCCTGTGCCAGCTACTATGTGAGATAAGGGGGTCTATACAGGGGAACCAATACGTTATACCCTGCCCTGCTGTTTGCTGTGGAAACCAATGAGGATCCTCACCACAAAGGATCACTCAGGTGCAGAAGACCTTTCCCCCTTTTCACCAACAAATTCTAGCCTTCGTGATAATCTGTCATATATTGCAAAAAAAAGGTCATTCTGCACCTCCTCCACTCTTCCTACCACTCCATCCCCCACAGCTATTTCCTCCTGTACCACTCTCCCCTCCCTCCTAGATTGTAAGCTCCAAGGAGCAGGGCCCTAGAACCCCTCGTGTATCGCATTGTATTGTTATTGTACTGTCCCATGTTCTGTCTCCCATTGTAATGTACAGCGCTGAGCGAATTGTTGCCGCTTTACAAATACTGTATAATAATAATAACCTATGGACATGGTAGCCTTAGATATTTGTACATGCACTTTAAAGCTGAATTGCAGGAATTCTGGCACTTTCTAAAATCTGCTGGCTTACTATGGGTTAGGTCCAATACAGTGCATGCCACCTTGTAGACTTATCTCTTTAAACCTTAGATTGTACACCCCTTGAGGGTTAGGGACTGATGTGAATGTACAATATATATGTAAAGAGCTGCGTAAATTGATGGTGCTGTATAAGTACCTGTAATAATAATAAATAATAATCTACATCTGACAGTTTTACTGAATGCTGGCAGTATGGCTATCGTTACTCCCGGCAGGAGAGACATTGTCTTCGCATACGGCAGCTCCGCCCATCCCTCTCCTCTGCTGCCCATTTACAGAAGGCTTTATATTTAGTGAATGGGTTGACATAATACAAAGTGCTCTCTGATTGGGCAGGGCAGAATGGCTGCATAAAACTCTGCAGAAGCTGAAACCAGCAGGTCCAGTGTCGAAGCGCCAAAGTATAGTGATAGCTATGCTCGGTATAAATAAAAATTGTACATGAAAGAGATAAGTCTATGAGGTGGCATGCACCTGTTTGGACTTAACCCTATTAATCCAAAACATTTTAGAAAGTGACTGAATTCCTAGGGTTCAGCTTTAAATAAGTGACAAAATTAAAGTGTAACTCCAGCTAAAACTTTTTAAGCAGATATAGTAACGGGTTTAAAGGGTAAACCATATGAATAGCCACTGACTTATATAAACACCCCTGTCAGTGTAAACCCCAACCTATTTAACTTTTGTTGGACAGCTTGGTCTGCATGTCAATGTAGAGAATATTAAAAATAAAGTTATGTAAAATAAAAAAATAATAATTTTCAATATGGGTATTAATCCCATATGGTTACCAGAATACAGTAATTTTCAATATAGTGACCCCCTCAGTGCCTCCCCGTCCTTGTGTGACAGTGACTAACAGCAGCTCAGTGAAGCACAAATGAAAGCAAGGAAGCTTGGGTGATGTATACTTTGGGATCACTAGTATTATTTACCTGATTCCTGGTGAAATTTAGGCTGTTAGAACTGTATTCTGTAACGATCACTGATTATTATATACATAGCTAACATCAGGAGGTATACGTATATTCACAACACTTTGATCTGTGGCTGATGCTGTATTTGAGCAATCCTCAGCTGGTATTCTTTATAATTTATTGAATACACAGACGGAAAAAGGACTGCCACGGACACTCAGAATTTTAGTTTCAGAATTTTCAGTCTGCTCCATGAAAGAGATAAGGCCATGTGTAGAAAAGGTCCTTGTTTCTCTACAATGACTGTGGGATTGGGGTTCCATTTTGGACACAAATTATTTGTAGAGCTCATGCAAACTGGACATTTTTAATGCTGCTGTTAAGGGCATCTGGCATTTTTTTTCTGCTTCTAAATGCCTCTGTATATTAGCCTGTCCAGCACGTCCAGGAGCAGCAGTGTTTTGGCAGAAAAAAACACTTGATGTGTGTAAACACATCTGTAACGATTGTGTGCGACAGGGACATGGAAATTGTACGTGACAGCCATCTTGTTAAGGTCTCAGCCATTTTGTATTCCTGAGCAGTGACCTTCTTCTCTCCCTCCTCTTGCAAACTATGGAATTTGTAGATGTAACTTGTAACACACTTCAAAAAAGCCTCTTATCTTAACGAACACAATAGACAGCCAGTGTCCAGACCTGGTCAGAGCTGTAAACAGCTAATCAGACTTGGCAGGATGTCTGTATTCATAAACCATGAAGAACCCTTCCCTCTGACCTATCGTAAAACATTAATAACTCAGTCAAGCCTGTCACACGTGAGCAAAGGAGAGAAAGCAGTCTCCTGCCTCATGGGTGACAAAGGTGCGCAGTGTTTTATATCCCTGGATACAAAATGCAATTCTGAATAATATTCTGCCAGTTTCTAGAATACCACCTGCATGTATTGGAAGTTATGAATATTAGTGCAAAACTGTATTTGGGAATTGGTCGTAAACATGGTGGCCTCCAAGCACCCATCCCTTAAACCGGATTATTGGTCAGATGGTCTCTGGCGACACCCCTTTGAAATCACATAAAAGGGAATGACAGGACCTGGTAAGCAAGCTCTCATTTTAACATCAACCAAAGAACACCCAAAAGAGCCACGGCAACGTTTTTGCTTGGACAATTGGACTATACTAAAACCAAGGACTTTGCAAGCAGTCTCCATTTTCACCTCCTTTTATCTCTCTGTTGCATTATTGTTCTCTTTATGTCTTTGTATAAATACACTGCTCAAAAAAATTAAAGGAACACTTTTGAAAACACATCAGATCTCAATGGGAAAACATATCATGCTGGATCTCTATACTGATATGGACTGGGTACTGTGTTAGTAAAATAAGGATGCCCCATCGCTTGATGGAAATGAATACTATCAACCTACAGAGGACTGAATTCAAAGACACCCAGAAAATCAAAGTGAAAATATGATGCAGAAGGCTAGTAGGCCATTTTGCTGAAATTTCATTGCAGCAACTTAACATGGTACTCAGTAGTTTGTATGGCCCCCATGTGCTTGTATGCATGCCTGACAACATTGGGGCAAGCTCCTAATGAGATGACGGATGGTGTCCTGGGGTATTTCCTTACAGATCTGGACCAGGACATCACTGAGCTCCTGGACAGTTGGATGGACCGAAACATGTTATCCCAGAGGTGTTCTATTGGATTTAGGTCAAGCGAGCGTGGGGACCATTCAATGGTATCAATTCCTTCATCCTCCAGGAACTGCCTGCATACTCTCGCCACACGAGGTCGGGCATTGTCATAAACCAGGAGGAACCCAGGACCCACTGCACCAGCGTAGGGTCTGACAATGAGTCCAAGGATTTCATCCCGATACCTAATGGTAGTCAGGGTGCCATTGTCTAGCCTGGAGAGGTCTGTGCGTCACTCCATGGATATGCCTCCCCAGACCATCACTGACCCACCACCAAAACGGTCATACTGAATGATGTTACAGGCAGCATAATGTTCTCCGTGGCTTCTCCAGACCCTTTCACGTCTGTCACATGTGCTCAGGATGAACCTGCTCTCATCTGTGAAAAGCACAGGGTGCCAGTGGTGGACCTGCCAATTCTAGCGTTCAATGGCAAATGCCAATCGAGCTCTATGGTGCCGGGCAGCGAGCACAGGGCCCACTAGAGGCCTTCAGTCTGTTTCTGATTGTTTGGTCAAAAGCGTTCAACCAGTGGCCTGCTGGGTCATTTTGTAGGGCTCTGGCAGTGCTCATCCTGTTCCTCCTTGCACAAAGGAGCAGATACCGGTCCTGCTGATGGGTTAGGGACCTTCTACAGCCCTGTCCAGCTCTCTTCGAGTAACTGCCTGTCTCCTGGAATCTCCTCCATGCTCTTGAGACTGTGCTGGGAGACACAGCAAACCTTCTGGCAATGGCACCTACTGATGTGCCATCCTGGAGGAGTTGGACTGTCTGTGCAACCTCTGTAGGGTCCAGGTATCACCTCATGCTACCAGTAGTGACACTGACCCTAGCCAAATGCAAAACTAGTGAAAAGACGAGTGAGGAAAAAATGTCAGGGGCCTCCACCTGTAAAACCATTCCTGTTTTGGGGGTTGTCTCATTGTTGCCCATCTAGTGCACCTGCTAATTTCATTAACACCAAAACAGCTTAAACTGATTAACAACCCCCTCTGCTACTTAACTGACCAGATCAATATACCAGGAGTTTGACTTGACGCTATACTCTGATTAAAAAGTGTTCCTTTAGTTTTGTTGAGCAGTGTATTTTAATTGCACCATTTGACCTTTTCATTAATAAACCCTATTTTGAAAAGTGTTAAAATTATCTCTAAGGCTCCTAATGCAAACTAAAGAATCCCTGTCTCTTGAAGAGCGCTACTGATAATAATCCTCTGAATATACCTGCCTGTAGTGACAGTGTGTGTTGCGGATGTTTATACTAAAATCAGTGTTATTGCTGAGATTTGTGAGTTTCCTCCTTCCCAGTAAAAAGGTGGTGGTGGCAGTTTGAAGAGTTAATTCCATAATTAACTTAACCCAGTGACAATCACTCTCAGGCTGCTGGCACATAAGATTGTGATCCCGCAAGCTGGAAAATCTTTGTGCAGGGTGCAGCTGAGAGTGGCATTGTTATGCAAGTGACAGCGCGGTGTGAGATTGGCAGGTCCTTTGCCACGGTTGGTGAGAAAGGCAGGGGTTGGGCACCACGTTCCTCACAACGTCTAAATGTGCATTAATGCTAGGCATGTTCAGTGCTTGAGCATTAACTCATTTCAATGGCCAGAATAAATTATTATTCTGGGCAATAAAATAAATTAACGCCCAAGCATATGATGTGCCTAAACACGTCTAAATGTGCTTACACTCGTTTACAAGCATCAAGCATTTTTTCTGCCAAAACCCTGCTGCCAGGAGGAAAGGTGTCTAGGAGAGATGGCCAAACGACCAGTGTGCATGAGGCCTTAGAAGGTTTTTTTAAACAAAAATACTGCAAATGTAAAATATACTACATACCTGTCTTCTGTACTCTAGTATAGGGTCATACACCTTCCAGCCATTTTCCACAAAGGCTTCTTTGTATTCAAAGGTAAACAGAGGCTGTGAAAGGCAGTTACTATAATTAATATATTTGAACAAAATCTTCAATTACTAAAATAGAAAAGAAACTATACTAACTGCTCCTTCACATATATGCGGATTGGATGCGCATCCAATCCGCATGACATGTGAAATACCATTGCTTCCTATGGTGCCTGTTCACATGTCCGGTGCATGGCCAGTGCAGATTCAGTGTGATTTTAAAAAGAGTCACGTCCGATTTCTGAGCAGTGGCTTCAGGTTCAGGTACGGATTACAGGCTACTTAAGGGAAACATTCCTAAACCACATATGTGTGAACAGGATAAGATCCTGAGCTAATCTTGTCCTGAGCCTGATGTAAGTCTGATGTGAACCTGTGAACAGCTACTGTGTCAATTAGCTGTGAAATCTGAGCTTCAATCCACACTGCATATGTGTGGATCAGTTCTAAGAGATTTCGGATGGGGAAATCAAGAGATTTTCTTTCCTTCCATCACGGAAGGAAAGAAAATCGAATCATATATGGACTGCCTTAGTATTTGATAGAAGAGTTGAATGTGCCAGGTTTTTACCGTCATAGGAGAGAAAGTTGTAGTATACAATTCTGAGGATTAGTGGAATTCTGAGGATTCTGAGAATTATCAATGAGATCAATGCATGTCAACAAATGTTGAAAAAAAGCATTCAGCAAAGAACTGGCACTAGAGATTCATTTGTCAAATTAAAAGCATTATATTCTTAACATGCACTATGTTTAGGGTTCATCCAAAACCCTTTCATGCTCCTACCAAAAACACCAAGAAAAGTAGAAATGCTCCTTGCTGCCCCCACACTGCAAGGCTTAAAGTGGTTCTAAAGGGAGGATTTTTTTTACCTTAATGCGACCTTCTACATGCAGCTCCCCCTCTCCCCCAGCTTCTTAATATACTCACATGAGCCCAATCTTGATCGCCTGAGCCTCTGTGGGGCCGAACCATGCTCTTTGTGTCAATGGACACACAGAGCAGGGCTCAGAAGCGAGGACACGAATGCCCCCCAGAGCAAGTGGCTTGCTATGGGGGCATGCAGAAGGGGGGAGGAGCGCCGGCAGGGGACCTAAGAGGAAACCCTGGCGGTTTTTAGTGGTTAAAAACCATTAAATAAATAATAATTTTTAGAATCAATTTAAAGTGGTTGTAAACCCAGTGAAGTGACTAGCCTCAAGTGCTATACAGAGATGAAACAAATCCTCCTACATAAGTTGTACCTGTTTATCTGCTCCCGTCTCTTATCTGGAGCTGTTCAAAATGTACAGTTTACACAGCATTTCTGAGCCTCCAGAGGCAGGAGGCAGGGATTAGGGTTCAAAAACAAGTATACATATGTATATATCACTTTGCAATCCCCCTGATCGGTCATACCAAATTGTGACTTAACGGGAAGGCATAAGCCATGAGGCTCTCAAACACAGTTTTGCGAGTGTGTCCATCTTGCTTGTAGGCAAATCTCATGTTTCTCATGTCCTGGAAAAGAAGCAGTAATGCCAAGAAAATGTGATAAATACCAAACACAAAGCAAGTAGTACATCCAGACAACACGTTGTTTTACCTTGCACACAATTTCTATCCCATGTGAATTGTCTCCACGACTTGCAGCTCCCCCAATTTTTTTTCAATTCGGCTTATGATTCCCAGAGGAGCATCCAATATCAAGCGGTGATCCTGCCAAAAAGATAATAATATGATCATTCTGGGTTCTATAACCATTATTAGATATGAACTATTGACAGTCCTTATCAAAGACTACATCTACCCAGATCTCATAACCTTTCAATTCTCAGAACCCTACAATGAGAAGCAGTTTCAAGATGCCTTGCTACTAGACCCAGCTCCAGGCTGATTAGCTTAGTCAAACGTTTGTTTTGTGTCCTGCAGAAGCACAGACTCTGTCAGTTGTCACCCTAGGCCAGGAAGTCTGTTACTGTCAGGTCAAGCTGTTAGTTTTTTTCCTGTTTGAATACATTTTTTCTTAAAAAGTTTTAAAAAAGGTACAAACAGGATAATGTTTTCCACATTTTCATATTCTTTAAGGGCCCATTCACACCAGATTCAGTGGGGCTGTGTTGGGCAGCTATAACCTCCGCAAGACAAGGCAAAATGCCTGGTTCACATCACCGTGTTTGTGGTGTGTGGAGTGAAAAGTACAGGAATCTGTACTTTTATCAACGCAGCATAGCGTGAGACAATCCACTGCCTTGCACCGTGCAGGGGCCGATAAATATCAATAAAGATGGTTTTAAAAAAAATTAAACAGTACGATGCACCATGATCAGCACACCAGCTTGGCAGAGATCCCACTGCTCTGCACAGCGGCTGGTGTGAATTAGCCCTAACTCCTCAAGATTTGTAACTGGGCCTTGTTGGAGGGGCTAGAGATTAATTTACTGAAGAAATCCAACCCTGGGGTCTCCAAGATATAACAAATCAACAAGATAACAAATAGTGCCCACCTAAAACTTACCTTATCTGTTCTGAGTGGACTTTGGAGCTGGTCACATATATGCAAATTGGATGCGTTTTGAACCGAATCCACTTCACATGACAGGTGAAATAACACTGTTTTCTATTGTGCCTGTGCACATATATGCGGTGCAACCGGAGTGCAGATTGATTGCGATTTGAAAGAGTCCTGTCAGTTTTCTGAGAAGTGCGGTCCAGCTCAGGTGCAAATACCGGCTCATTGACTTCTATGGGAACGCTTCTGAATCACACATGTCATCAGTTGTGAACAGAATAAAATCCTGACCTGATTCTGATCTAAACCTGACCTAAACTGCTGAACTACTTTGTCAATTAGCTGTGAGAACAGAGCTTCAATTTGCACTGCACGTGTGTGAATCTACACTTACATATACCCAGTGAAGTGACTGACAGGTTATACACAAAGATGAAACAAGTCCTTCTACCTAGGTTGTACCTGTTTATCTTTAGCCCTCTCTTCTCTATATGCAGTGCAAGTGCAGAATTTACACAGAATGTCTCAGCTCTGATAAGCAGGGGGGTGGGGAGCTGAAATTACACACTGCAGGGCTCAGTGAGAACTCTGAGCCCTGATTGGAGGGAAAGGACACAGTCACCCCCTTCACTCATCAATAAAGTTGAGGCTGTCAATCACAGGCTGTGTACTGGAGATACTTCTCCTGTCATCTTTTAATTTGATGGTGTCAGGAAAACTTGTCATAAGTGACTCATGCTGATAGCAGAGGAATGTGGCAACAGACAAAAAAGACACTATAGAGGAATAGACTGTTCATATTTCATGTCTGAGGTTTACAACCGCTTTAAAGCTAAAGAAAAAATTAAAGATATCAGTTGAATGAGAAATGTATCCATAGGTACCAGTCTAACCAAACCAAAGTGAAATCACTAAATGGTCTTACCCGCTCCAAACTTTTAAAGTACAGTCTGTAGTTCGTAACTGTGAAACTCCCCCGGATGGCTCCAGTAAATGGACAGATGTACGTGACATCTTTACCTACAAACACACAATTACCGCTGTGATTCAAACATAATGTTCAATATAAAATAAACTATAAGAAATTGTGATTGAACTACACAAAACGCAGACCATCAGTGATGGCACACAGTTTAAAAGATATGGTTGGCGAACAAACCTGATCCTTATCTAAAAACGCCTTCCTGTCATGCCAATTCTAATCCGATTTTAAAATGGACCTTCCATGGCAGTCACCCTCCTACCCCACCCCAACACAAATTACTTTAAAACCCATTTGTAAAATTGTTTGCCCAGAAAGAAAAACTTGCTCCTGGAAGGCACAGGTGAAATCACTGGAAGCCCAACATTTCATGAGAATTCACTTTTGCAATGGACTGGAATGCACTCTTGCAGGATTTTGAGCTCCCAGCTCCGCCAGAAGTGTGGTGAAGTCAACTGTGTTCCCCAGAAGCATCGGAGGCCAGGGCTGAGGTAAGCATTTATTTTTTGTGGGTGGTTAGATTACAAATTACTTTTTAAAGACATTTGCATTGGGGGGTATGGAGACACTGAGAAAAAACGCAGACCTTCTGTTTGCCCTGTTTGCCACTTTAATGCTTTGAGTCACCAACTCAGAACAAACATGCAGGTCAGGAATTTTGTTTGCACCACATTTGTACTGGGTCAGTGACTCAAGAATAACAAAGCAGTACAAAGCAGTACAGCCAGGCAACAAGAATATTCCTAAGGAGGTAAATAACATCAACTCATGTATATCTCTCTAACAAGTTTTATTTTAATAGTAAGTATGGTATTCTGTCTTGTATGTCCTTGAAAAGCTAAGGCAAAGTTGTCAATTTCCTTTGACATTAGCAGGAGCCATAAAACACAAAAACAAGGTTTTCTTTTTTGGTTTGTAACATAATTAACAAGAAGACAAGTGCCTTCCTCCCACTCATTTCTGCAGTTTACATCTCATGAATGTATACACTGTTCAGATGTGATCAATGTGCACACTGTGTTGTGGTTTGTTTTCTGTACATCGTTATGGTAATAATGTGGTCCTTCCGAACAATAACCGACAAACATCACAAGTTTACTTTCTATACAGTTATATACAGACATGCACATAATCCATTACTTGCATAAACGTAAAATAAACTTTAAACTTCTCCGCTTTGAAGGTCTGTTCACACAGGGCCGTTGCAACAATCTGCAGTCAAACACACATTACCACAACACGTTCCTAACTCCAGAAACTTCAAAGTAACTCATTCACTTCCTTATCATCTCCCGACTTGACTATTGCAACTCCCTCCTCACCGGCCTACACCAACACAGGCTATCCCCACTTCAGTGTATCCTGAATTCTGCGGCCAGACTCATCCACCTTACCAACCGCTCCGTATCCGCCACCCCTCTCTGCCAATCCCTCCACTGGCTTCCGATTGCGCAACGCATAAAATTCAAAATATTAACATTAACGTATTAAGCTGTTCATAACACTGCCCCAAACTACATCACCGACCTGATATCCATCTACCATGCAAAACGTACTCTCCGCTCCTCACAAGACCTCCTTCTCTTCAGTTCCCTGGTCTTCTCCTCCCTAGCCGTCTCCAGGACTTCTCCAGGGCTTCCCTCATCCTCTGGAACTCACTACCCCAATCCATCAGACTGTCACCTTCCCTCCTCACCTTCAGGCGCACCCTGAAAACCCATCTCTTCAGAGAAGCCTACCCCGCCCTCACCTAATTTGCTGATCACCTCCGCTGTTCCCACCATTCCATCCCCCACAGCTATTTCCTCCCGTACCATTCTCCCCTCCCTCCTAGATTGTAAGCTCCATGGAGCAGGGCCCTCGAACCCCTCGTGTATTGTATTGTATTGTTACTGTACTGTCTCGTGTACTTTCTCCCATTATAATGTACAGCGCTGAGCAAACCATTGGTGCTATACAAATACTGTATAATAATAACAACACATGATCTGGCACCATATGCATGTTGGTGCACTGCAGTGCCATTCATTTTGAGTGGCACCCAACAAAACACAGTGTGCATTGTGGGGTTCTACAAGAAAATGCAGGAAAATGCATTAGGGCAGAATGAGGCCCTATCCCTTTGATGAACATTCACACAATGGACACAGAGAAACTGCTCCATTTCCCTTGTCTGTACTGGCAAAGCCCCCATCAGATAAAGAAAGCATCTTGCAGTGCGCAAGCCTAAGAAGCGTGACTGAACAGGAGGCCTTTAGCCAACTGCCTCAGCACTAATACACATGCGCTGCAACGCACGTTGTTGTAGTGTGTCCTGGCCCTAAGCCCTGGTTCACATATATGCGGCCGTGTTTTGCTCAGGCACAAGAGCCCATTCATTTGAATGGACTCCTGTGCCCCATGACACGCAGGGAAAAAGTCCCTGCACTTCTTGGGAAAATGCAGCCCGCATGGGAACCTCGGTTCCAGTACGGTTGCGTTTCTAGTGCGGATGGCATGCCATTAGAACTATTAACACCCACCCGCGGGTCCGCATTCCTCTGTGCGGGTGGTGTGGCTGCACGGATCTGCAGCAGCACCACCCACACAGATGTGAACCTAGCCTAAAGGTGTACCTCAGATCTGCTACAGCTGGAAAACAATCAGGAATCAGCATTTGTAAGAATCTGAATCTATGCTCCATTTTATGAAAGATTGCTTGGCTGGGCTGTTATTCACTTATATCTGTCAGAGTAGAAACCAAAGCTGTGAGCTCAGTATCAGAGCATAAGGCTTGAAAGTCTCCTGCCACACATACATAAACACATGCACGGTTTATAAATCAAACATATAAAACATTAAAGAGGAACGGTTACTTTTCTCATTGCACAGTATCAAAGAAGGTGGTCACATGCTCCTCATGTCCAGAAATACTTGGTGTTTTGTGCTGGCTGAGATAGAGGAAGGAGAAGGGTGGGAATCACCAGGGGCATATCAGTGGGTTGGGGGCATAACACAGACAATGGGGTGGATTTACATAGGTTGGCCATACACTATACAATTTTCTATCCAATTTCTGCCCAATATCCTTTAGATTTACCTTCAACTATATAGTGCAAGGGCCTGCCTAATTGGATACAATTGAAGGTGTTGTTTAGGTTTGACCTCATATTATATGGTTTTTGGTAAATCTAAAGCAAAATTCTCAAGAATATTGTATAATGTATGGCCAGCCTAAAACTGGAGAGTGCAAAATCTGGTGCAGCTCTGCACAGAAACCAATCAGTTTCCAGGTTTTTTTTTTCTCAAAGCTACAGGCTAGACCAGGGGTGGGCAAACTTTTTGACTTGAGGGCCGCAATGGGTTCATATATTGGACCCGGGGGCCGGACCAAGAGTAGATAGTAATTCATACCCCATAGTAATTCATCCCCCATATAGTAATTCATCCCCCATAGTAATTCATCCCCCATATAGTAATTCATCCCCCATATAGTAATTCATCCCCCATATACAGTTGCAAGAAAAAGTATGTGAACCCCTTGGGATTATGTGGAGTTTTGCATGAAATGAGCATAAAATGTGCTCTGAACGTCATCTAAGTCACAACAATAGAAGAATACAGTCTGCTGAACAAATAATACTACACAAACATTAGATGTTGCCATGGTTTAATTGCACATTACATGTAAACATTCACAGTACAGGGAGGAAAAAGTATGTGAACCTTTGGACTTAATAACTGGTTGACCCTCCTTTGGCAGCAATAACCTCAATCAAACGTTTCCTGTAGTTGCAGATCAGACCTGCACAATGATCTGGAGTAATTTTGGACCACTCCTCTTCACAAAACTGTTTCAGTGTAGCAATATTCTTGGGATGTCTGGTGTGAATCGCTCTCTTAAGTCATGCCACAGCATTTCAATCGGTTGAGGTCAGGACTCTGACTGGGCCACTCCAGAAGGCGTATTCTGTGCTGTTGCAGCCATTGTTTTGTTGAATTACTTGTATGCTTTGAGTCATTGTCCTGTTGCATCACCCATCCTCTGCGGAGCTTCAGTTGGCAGACAGATGGTCGTTTGTTTTCCTGCAAAATGTCTTGATAAACTCTGGAATTCATTTTCCCATCAATGACAACAATCCGTCCAGGCCCTGAGGCAGCAAAGCAGCCCCAAACCATGATGCTCCCTCCACCATGTTTACAGTGGGGATGAGGTTTTGATGTTGGTGTGCTGTGCCTTTTTTTCTCCACACATAGTGTTGTGTGTTCTTCCCAAACAACTCAATCTTGGTTTCATCTGTCCACAGTATATTTTGCCAGTAGTGCTGTGGAACATCCAGGTGCTCTTTTGCAAACTTCAAACGTGCTGCAATATTCTTTTTGGACAGCAATGGCTTCCTCCGTGGTGTCCTCCCATGTACTCCATTCTTGTTTAATGTTTTCCTTATTGTAGATGTGTCAACAAAAATGTTAGCATGTGCCAGAGATTTCTGTAGGTCTTTAGCTGACACTCTGGGATTCTTCTTTACCTCATGCAGCATTCTGCGCTGTGCTCTTGCAGTCATTTTTACAGGACGACCACACCTAGGGAGAGTAGCAACAGTGCTAAACTTTCTCCATTTGTAGACAGTCTGTCTTACCGTGGACACGTGAACATCAAGGCTTTTGGAGATACTTTTGTAACCCTTTCCAGCTTCATGCAAGTCAACAATTCTTGATCGTAGGTCTTCTGAGAGCTCTTTTCTGCGAGGCATGGTTCACATCAGACAGTGCTTCTTGAAACCAGTAAACCCAAAACAGGTGTGTGTTTTTTAAGGGCAGGACAGCTGGTCAGCAACACATCCAATATCATCACACTGATTGGAGTCAAGGTTGGCTCACTCCTGGCTCCAATTAGCTCTGGGAGAAGTCATTAATCTAGGGCCTCACATGGGTTTTTTCCTCCCTGCACTGTGAATGTTTACATGTTATGTGCAATAAACCATGGCAACATCCCCCATATAGTATTATGTTCAGCAGACTGTGTTCTTCTATTGTTGTGACTTAGATACGTTCAGAG